AGAGTAAGCCCTCCCTCGAAGGTCAATGCCCGAGAAAGCCTGGGTATCAACTCGCCCGTGTATCACGAAAACAATGTCCGCCCGTCGGTCTTCCCCCTCCCCCTTTCAGTCCTAACCATGCAAAAAGAAATCAAATGCAATCTCTTGTTTCTTTCCGTAGTCTATCGTCGTCGTCTTAGCTTTCCTCGTAAACATGCCACTCTTCGTTGCCGAAGAATGACTGCGCCAGCCCCTTGCCGCTCTCGGTCGGTTGGCTGAACGCCACCTGCTCCTTGGGGATTTCCATCCCGTAGATGAAGTTGCTCACCACGCAGTCTAACAGATCCATGGCAATGCCTTTCCGGCGTGAAGAGCCCGATGTCCATATGCGCGAAATGCCCACGATGGCCGGGTGCCTTTCCTCTCCCACCGTGACCGACGAGTCCGGTCCATTGCCCGAAACGGCCGACTTCTTGACCGGCCGTGACTCCCAAATCCGCTCCGTCAAGCATGCCCCTACACATCGACTGTCCTTCATGTGCAAAAACACCTTGTACCGGTCCACTTTCTCCGGTACTCCGTTCTGTTGCAGATGCTTGGGCGCTTCCGTTTGACTCCACAGAACCTCATCCTCGATCGTCGGGGACGACAGCTCCTTGCAAATGACCTCCAGCACCTTCTTCGCTTGGTTCTTCGCGGTCGGCGATGCCTTGCGATCCACGATGACCACATATCCCTCGTCAAACCGTGTAGCTTCGTAGACCCAGCGTGATGCGTTGGCCCGCATGAAGGCCTTCCCCAGATCTACCCCTGTGGAGTTCATATCGTGAAACTTCTTATGCAATGCCGCATCCTCCGTGTTCGACGGCACGTACTCCATGCCACAAGTTGCACACGTCCTCCGTACTTCGTGGCCCAGGTCGATCTGCATCTGCTTCAAGACCGGCGGCTGCTGCGGCTGCGGCGCTTTCTTCTTGGGCGGGTCCACCGAGGCGCGCACGCTGTTAGAGTTGACCTCGGTGAGTGGGGTGCCATTCGTGGTGCCGTTGGTGGTGGTGCCATTCGTAACAGGGGTGCCATTGCTGGCATCCTTGGTGGCGGACTGTTTACGCTTCAGGAAGGCAAACGTGGGTTTCCGCGTGTTGGCGGGAGGGGGGCTTAATCGCGGTGGGGGAGAAGATGGGGGTGTCGAGAGATCATCTTCCTGCGTGCCTTCGGAGAGAAGAATAGAATTGCGACGCGACGGACTGGACATGATGGCGGCGGAAGACTCGCGGATGGCATATTGGATGCTATTTTCGGCTTCGTCGGAATCATTGCCGGATTGAACGCGTCGTTTTTTGGCGGCAGGCCGTTGGTCATCGTCGTAGACGCGCCAAAGTGGCCGTCCGTAAGTTTTCATCATGAGACCTCTGCGTGGGGGGGAATCAAGAGGGGAGCGTGTTAGTTGGGAGTGGCGGCAACCAAGGGATAAGGGAATTAAGGAGCAGGGGCATGATTTCAACAACGTACCGCTTGAATGAGTTTGTCACAGTCCACGGCATCTCCCTTTCTGATGTACCAGAGGCATTCAAGCGAGGTAAAACATTTATGGCAGAGGTCGTAATTCTAGATGGAAGAGAAGGAGGTAGGAGGGAGGAAAGTAGGAGGAAGAAGAAATCGAGAGAAGCAGGGAGAGCCGATCGATGATGCAGTGGAATGAGCTGCCTGACGGAATGCCAGGAAATTATTATGGATTGGGAAGGGCGGATTTGGCGGTCGCCGATCGACGGGAAACGCGTGAGAATCACTGGTCTAAACCACATTCAGTCATATTGCTGCCTTTTCGTTTTTTACCCTTTATATAGTTAGTTAGTTAGTTACTCACCAGCTGATGAATTGACTGAAGAGGATGATGATGATGATGATGATGAGGATGACACGGATGAGAGTGTGAATCAGCAGAGGCAGCAGCTGATATTTATTCCCTTTTTTTTTTTTTTTTTTCCCTTTAATAATTTGATATTCCCGTGTATCAGCAAGCTCTAAGCTGATGATGATGATGATGATGATGCTGCTCCCCCCCACATCCCAGCTATATAACTAACAATGATGAAAATAACCCACGGTGGCGTCGTGTCCGCAGGATGCAACAACAGAGTCATGAATGAATGTTCATTCATTCAGAACCACCAACCACCTCCGAATACTAGTGAAAAGTACTTGAACAAGGTGATACGTGTGGAACACCCATTACTCACTGGCAGCCAAAGAAATTTGAAGCAGATGAAAGATTCAAATCACAAACGGCCCAGCTGTTACTGGACGAACGAGAGAATGAGCTTACTTTATGAGTAAAGGTTCCCAGTTTCGATGCTGTGCCATCGACTCATTCATTCTGCCGTCCCGTACTTCGCCTCCTTATATCATGAGCCCCCAACCAACCAGACTCTGTGGTGCAACACCACTCCTGAGTAGTGGACACTTACCCGTATGTATGAACAAGTCGGTGGCAGCTGAGGTGGCCAGCCTCGTCACTTCATCTTCCCTCCCCCTGGTGATGATAGACACGATTAAATAAAACTAAATTTGATTCATCCTATTTTCCCATTCGTGCATCTCCCTGTTCGTCTCTTCTGTCACTCCACATAGTATACCAGTAGTATTTGATGAGTGTCTCCGTACTCCGTACACACAACAATCCATCCATCGTTAACAACCCTACTAATGGTGTGAGGCAAATTCCACCAGATCGACTGGAAACAAGCGCTATTCTCAGTCTTTCTCTGACTCTTTTTCTTTTTCTGTCTGGTCTTATCGCTCCCCCAACCTCGCCCTTGCTGAACAAACGAACCAACACTGATGCTGCCTTACTGGGCCACAGCCATGTTCTGGCACTGCCTTGCCGGCATTTGACTTGCAGCTCGGGTCCTCAGCTTTGTTCCAGGATTGGATGTGATGGCTACACAGGGCTCCCGGCTGATCTTGATCTACTTAACTTAACACATCGGTGGCCTCTCTCTATCCCTCCCCCTCTCCTCTGTTTCTGCCTTTTTGTCTCTTTCCTTGTCTGAAAATGGCTATGTAATCCATTCTTGGGGCTGCTCCAGGCCAGCTGTCACACCACATGGGGGGTGGGTTGTCTTTGTAGGTCCTTACATGATGTGTCTATATGTCATCGCAGCCTAGACTGGCCAAATACGTAGCCAACAACCCCAAAGTAAGTCACTCCAAGTCAAAGCAAATCACTGACAGCCGGATCGAAGATGCCGATCGTGAGGACCGATCATGAGAACGCGGATCATCCATCTAGGTAGCTTATTTGCTTTTTCTCTATCTCCTCCCTGTCCCTCATCCAAGGCAAGACTTGTCACCTTTCGCCTCCCGTCCTGTGAGGGGGTTTTGCCAGTGGATGGTAGATCCGACGCCTCTGATTGCTTCCACCTCGTTTGAACCTGTACACAGAGTTACATCCCTTCATCCCTCTCAATGACTAGATAGATAGATAGATAGATAGATAGTACAACTGCAGCTGCTGCGCACCCCCAAACCAAGTAGATGAAGTCAAATCGGATGTAGATGGACAGATCCGAGGCGGGGCACGACAACCGGCTTCCCATCAAACGACTGTACTGTTACAAACTGGCCAGATGCCGACGCGACAAGCTGTCATCGGTAGAACAATGATGTCTTTTCTAGAGGCTACTTGGAGCACACAGTGGCCCGGCAGTCACGCCTCTGTGTAACCCTCCCGGTTACACATCAGGGTACTGTGTACGAGGGTATCTTCTGCAAAGGTGGGCATGGGCGAGGAATCCGGAGATACTGCCATGGTGGGGGGGGGGTTAATCCGATAGATGCTTGATGAAGAGTTCAGGAGGTGACGGGGAAAGGAGGAAGGGCGTTGCGAGCCGTATTGTTAGTTAGTAAATGAGTCTTACGTCTGAGTAAGACACGGAGTAAGACAATCAACTAGTTAATTAGTTAGTTAGCTAGTGACACTTCCTGAAGGAGTAACTAACTCGTTAACGGGTTTTGAGATCAGGAACCGAGCCAGTGATCCGTCTATTTAATCCGAGTACGAGACAGACAGAGAGAGAGAGAGAGAGGCCATGGTGGTTAGCAGGTGACTACTTACTATTCCCGAGTCACTAACTCACTAACTCACCCTTCATCTAATCACACACTCAAACCCCGAGTGAAGGAAGCTAACGAGGCTGACGGATGCGAATCTGGCGTGAAGAAAAGCAAAGCAGACCAATGATGGCAGGAAGAGGAATGCACCGGTCCAATGCATTGCTGATCGGAGATTACACGATAATCTCAGGTCATTGGACCAAGCCATGTTCTAGTTGAGACTTTAGCCCATGAGAAGGAAGGTATCCATCAAATGCATGGATGACCCGGCGGGCACATCCTGCAACTTGTTCGTCCACTGGGACTGATTTCCCACATTCCACTACTACTATCCCAGTAAGTCAATACCTACATAGAGTTGTTTACAGGCATATGCTATATCTATCAGTATCATAGGTAGCTAGCTGTTCTTGGGTTGCTGGATGGCTGGACCGAAATGTATGGAACCGGGAAATGACACTAGGAAAGAGAGTTTGGAACCAAGACGAGATTTCTGCATTGTTTTTCCATCCCGAAACTCCGCCGGGCGGCCAGCCCCCAAACTGCCACCAATGGATTACCCCGGCGGCTGCTACTGCTATTGACTGCTACTGCTTGTCTTCTGTCGCTCTCGGGGACTTTTTTCTGGACTTGATTTTTCGCCCATTCTTCTGCCCTTCAAGTGAGGGGAATCTGCATTGCGATAACGTGAGAGACACTGTCAGAGAGAATAAGAAGGAAGGGGGCAGAAAAGAAAATCAAAAAGAAAAAAAGGAAAATTGAAAAGCTATTGCTTTGCTGCTCACACCATCGTTTTATTATAAACTCCCGTTGAGCCTAGTCTCCTTCTTCATCGCCGCCTTCGTCTTCCCATCTTTTTTTTCCTCTCGTACTTTTCCTCGCTTTACTTTTTTTTCCACTTCCCCAAACCTCCGTTGCGGTCTCAATTCCCCATTAATCTCAAACCAGCAACATTCCAAGTGAGGAATATAGTTGCAGGTATAATTCCAAGGATTGAGAAAAGCTCTGCTTCGGGATTCCTCTATAATCTTGCACCATCACCCATCAATCAATTCGCATCATGTCGGATCCTATCCAGGTTGCCGGGAAGAGAAAGCGTGCCAGTACGTTCCCTCCCCCCCCAATTGCAATTTAATCCCGCGGTTCGCTCTTCAATCGCTCGCTGCTTTTCCCTGCGTTTCCCTGCTTTTCTCCCCCAAACTTCTCAGCCTTGCTGTCATCTCATGTACAGCCGGTGACAACCTCGTGCTATTCCCCCGCCTGATTTTTCTTATCGCCAACGCGGGAGATCAACATTCCTTTTTTATTTTTCTCTCTTACTTTTTCTTCACGGCTGTCTTTCTTTGTCTTCGCAAACTCATCGTTCATCATCTGATGGGTTAATTCCCTGCATCGCTATTCTTTCTACGTTGTTTGTCACTTCCACAATCACCGTTTCTTTTTCCTATTCTGTCTCTGTGATACGCCCTGTCTGTCGCATCACCCAGTGTCCAGCTTCATCTCAGCTTCACAATCTTCAACCGACCGCGTGGATTTGTCTTTTTTTTGCTATCACCATCAAAAATGGTTGCTGACTCGACTGAACCTGCAGGGACGCAATCCTGCCCGCCTCCCGAATTGCCCCAGCTCGTTGCGGAACAGCACACTCCCATCCCTGCTCATGACAAGGAGACCCAGCGTCTGATTGTCGTTCTCTCCCATGCCAGCTTGGAAACCTACCGGGCTTCCAGCGGACGCAATGGTTCCGGTCGTGATGAGAAGTACTCCCTGCTCAACAGCGATGAGCACATTGGTGTCATGCGTAAGATGAACCGGGATATCAGTGAGGCTCGCCCGGATATCACACATCAGGTTAGTTGCTCTGTCTGGGATAGCCAGCAATGGTTTGGTGGCTAGTTGCTAATGATCAATGCTCATCAGTGCCTGCTCACCCTGCTCGACTCCCCCGTGAACAAGGCGGGTAAGCTGCAGATCTTCATCCACACTGCCAAGGGTGTCTTGATCGAAGTGAACCCTAGCGTGCGCATCCCTCGTACCTTCAAGCGATTCGCTGGTTTGATGGTGCAGCTGCTGCACCGCCTCTCCATCCGTTCCACCAACTCCCAGGAGAAGCTCCTGAAGGTCATCAAGAACCCCATCACCGACCACCTTCCCCCCAACTGCCGCAAGGTGACCCTCAGTTTCGAAGCCCCCGTGGTGCGCACTCGCGACTACATCGAATCGCTGGGCCCCAAGGAGAGCGTCTGTATCTTCGTGGGTGCCATGGCCAAGGGACACGATGACTTTGCCGACTCCTTCAAGGACGACACGATTTCCATCAGTAACTACAGCTTGAGTGCCAGTGTCGCATGCAGCAAGTTCTGCCATGCCGCCGAGGAGGTGTGGGACATTGTCTGAGCGCAGGACCTCGGACGCTCCTATCCCGCTTCTCAGGAATGGCCAAAGCTTGACGAGGTGACGAATTTCCTTGCGCCCATACATCTGAAATGGTACGATCGAGAAACGGTCAGCGGGTCCTAGCTCGGGGACAAACCTGTCTTCCGCGCGTTGTTCGCGTATTCTCTCTGCCTTGGGTGTATTTGCATCGCTTGCTGTTCTCTGCACGTCTTGATGGGTTTTCGTGTCTGTTTTCTTGCGCCTCGCGTCGCGGTCGCCGCTAGACTGCTGGATGCGATATCTGGAAACTAAGATCGCCTCATTTATTTGGACCCCGTGATGAACTGGCAGGCCCTCTTTGCTTCGGCGGGCCTGCGCCGGTGGGTAGGTGTCACGGCACGACCCACCGGCCCCCAGTTTCTTCTGATAGATCCCTCTGTTTTGAGTTCTGCAGGTTCGAATGCCTCGACGAGGATCTGGGTTTTTTTTTCTTCCAAATATCTAGGTGGGTGTGATCTAATCACTGTAATCTGCAACACCCCATCTGGGGTGTTGTACACTTGTTGCAGTCTCGCATGCGAGATTTTATCTATATAGCAGCACGAATACACCAGATACATTTACCATCGAGGCACAACCATGGACACGGAGGTCTGACACCCGCCGTTCAGCCCCTGCCCAGATACTCGATCCTACTTCCTCCCCCCCTTTGTCTTCCCTTACAGACTTTGATGATCCTAAATGGTCCTCTGATCGGATCACTAGTATCGAGTAGAATACCTGTCAGTAGTAGACCCAGCCGTAGATGCCCGTAGCCACAGGGAGAGGGGCTCCCTGGAGACCCGGAAATTCAGATGGAAGCTGGTGGGCCCTTGCGCCGGTGACGTTCGCTGTGTGATGGTGCCAATGAGCCAATTGGCCGGATGACTTGAACCGGTCGGACCATGAGGATGGTCGGAATCATCTGGAGGCACGAGAGTGACCGTAGAAGCAGGAAAGAAGCAGAACAAGTGGGAAACCCAGCGAACAGAAGGGGGGAGAGGGGCTGCACATGATGAGGAGGGGAAGAGTGGGTTTGTGCCTGAGGCCGGCCCCGCCGTAGCCAGTGTCTCTCCCCGACTTTTTCACTTTCCCTTTTCTCTCTGTGTCTGTCTATACTCCATACTTCTCATCCCTCTTTCCCTCGTCTTCCTCGGATGAGAGACGGGAATCCTGACTATCGCTGACTCACACCTTTGAGCTCTTGGAATTTGTCAGGGGAGTCTTTGTTCGCTCCCAAAGTAGCACTAGCAACAGTATTGATGGGCAGGTCAATCGGGTGGTCCCGGTGGCTGGGGACGGAGTCTCCTGTTCGACGTGGCATGCAGCCATCGCAGCAAGTGGATCGCCCACTGGGTTCGAATGGATAACTCCGTACATGAAACCAATGGACCATCTCAATCATCCATCTAGTCATTTGACGATGCTACAAACACCGATGATGCTGTTGGCTGATGAGCCATCCCATCCACTTCCGGCGAGAAACGGATATCACCGTATACCACCAACTAACTCCATGATGACAGAATGATGGTGATATTCACCTCCTTTTCTTCGTCATTTTCCGGAAAGAATCTGGATTCTAGATGCTCCTATACGGAATACACCTTTCTTTTCGTCGTGCCGGGAGGGTATGATCCACGCCGCAGCATCGCCGGACTGGAGGAACATCTGGCGGTCAGATCGCACCGGCCGGCGACTAACAGCAGCAAATGTGCCCGAAGCAGGAACAAAATCCCCCCATCGGTCAAGCAGATTTGCCCCTCAGTGGCTCCCCTCCTTCTCTCCCTACTATTTTTCCTCAACACGGCTGCTTGCTGACATGCCCGTATGCGATTCGTTGTTCCCTCGTGATTGGCGACCTCCCCAAGGCGTTTGTCTGATGTCCCAATCCTGGGCCCTAGCCGAGTGAGCCCGTCGTTACAATCAATGATTTAGGTTAGGTCTTCAAGAAAGTCAAGGGAATTTCCCCCCAATCCCTTCTTTGACGCCGGTCTACGCACCTGTCGCGGTTTCAGCGTCTGTTTTTCGTTTGGTAGCTGCCGTCTCCACCACTGCCAATCCCCTTCATCCACCTTGTCCTGGACCCTCTCGCCTCACTCAAGTTCCCTTTTGGACAAGATGCTGCTGTCTACCCTTGGCTCCTGCGTAGTCCCCACCGTTTTCTGATAGGCGCCCCGTCCGCCGCGACAGGGCCACCTACAGCACCGTCCGCCAGTCTTTCCCCACGATGACCTGGCGGCCATCTTGAGAGTTTTCGTACCCCTCGATATTAGCTTCACCGAAAAAATAACATCATGGGTCGTCTGAGTATGTGTCAGAGTGGGTGGCGGCCTTGCGATAGCACCCTCCGAGCCTATCCCTTTTGGCAACTTCCTGCAGACTGAGCCTAGACGATGTTGATGCCTCGTGGATTATACTGGGCATCGTTCGGATGCCGTGCGAGTCTATGCAAGCCTGCCTGCGATAACCGGCCTAGTCTAGTCGTGCTCCACGGTTGGAACAACTGGTCGAGTTTCCATGATAATTTGCTCCCCCCTGTAAGCTTCTGACCGCTCGTGATTGGATCCCAAGTTGGGCATTTCGGGGGCATACTCCTGAAGTCCTAAGGTTGGCCTGCATCTTGCCTTGAAATACTAGTGCTGCTTCTCGCCGGCTTCTCTCCATTCCTCTCTCATGATTTCATGGGTCTCTCCTATCTATCTCTCCAGTCTTTGTGTATATATATCCTCCTGTTCTCTTACTCGCTTCTGAGTCTGCAATCGACTTTTTGATCTCTCCTGTTGGTGGATCTCTCTCCATCTGAGATCTACTATTTATCTTGTCTCGCTGCTCCCCCTCCATACCTCTTTTTTCTTCCCCTGACTTCACCTCTTCATACCACGACTCGCAAAGGGATATACCCAGCGAGTCCACACAGACATGCCCGTCTCTCACCTCACCCTGACGGTTGCTCACCTGCCTACCTCCACATCTTTCTTTCTTTCCTGCCTACAACCTCTGGGGTACCAATTCATTGGACGTCACGATGACTACATTGGTTTCGGTCAAAAGACCGGCGAGCCCGCAGATTTCTGGATCACGGAACAAAAACCTGGGTAAGTGTCCGTCAATGTACTTTGATTCGTGTTACGAGAACTAACTGTGACCTTGCAGCGTACCTGCAGGTGCCGCTCATGTCGCCTTTCCTGCAGCATCCAAGGATGCTGTGAGCACCTTCTTTATCAATGCCCTCAAGGCAGGAGGCAAGATTCATGGCGAGCCTAAGCAACGCGACTCCGACTCTGGTTACTACAGCGCCGCCGTCATCGACTTTGATGGCAACAGCATTGAGGCAGTATACCGCCCTAGCATCTCATCAGCCCGCTCAGAGGTCCGGTCCGTGGCCAAGTCCGTGGCCAAGTCGGAAGCCAGATCTGAAGCCAGGTCTGAGCTCACTAGGCCAGCCCTGGCTTTGCTCGAGAACGGCTCGGTTGTATCGAAGGCGAGCAGCAAGGCCAGCTCCGTCCGTCCCGAGAGCGTTGCGCCTCCCAAGTCTGAAGCTCGCTCGTACGTTTCCAGGTCCTCGACGGCCGTGGACCGAGCCCCTCCCCCGTACGAGCGCGCGCCGTCCACCATCAGCGTTAGCCGTGAATCCCAGCAGCCTCGCGAGATGCAGCCGGCCCCGTCGCCCACGTATATTGTGCACCACACGACTCACACCACCACTCAGCAGAAGACTGACGATGGTAAGACGGCCAAGACCATTGTCGGTACCCTGATTGGCGCTGCGGCTGGCGCTGCACTCGCATATGCCATGACCAAGTCCGACTCCTCCGAACAACATTCCGAGGGCAGTACCCCTCCCCCGCAGTATTCGCCCCGGGACATTGTCCAGATGCTCTCCCCGTCCCAAGCACCCTCTCAAGCCCAGGAAGAATACCCTGGCTACAAGGCTATCGAGGCTCCTCCCCCGCGGAGTGTTTATTCTTCTCGGTCGGATGCCCGCCCGGGCCTCACCCGCAGTGTGACCTCGAAGAACCCCCGCGCAGACACCATCTACGAGGGCACGGAGTTTGTCCCCCGCGGCGGCAGCGTCTACCTCGATGAGAATGGCCGTCGGGCCTCCGAGGGCAGCGTGTACACCACCAAGGATATCCCCCTGCGGGCGATCGAGTATGCCCCGCCGGCCGATTCCCGTGGCTACCAGAGCACCCTGGTCAGCAGCTTCCGTGAGGACAAGTCGCGGGCGATGGATGGTGGCAGTGTCTACTCATCCGCCACGGTTCGGCCTCCCTCCAAAGCCAACTACCAAGAGTCCCACCACAGCTCTCATCACTCCTCGCACCATTCCTACCACTCCGTGAGCCGATCGCAAGCCGGCAGCACCGCCTCTTCCAACCGCACTGCCCGCCAGGTTCCTCTCCCTGAGGGATCCATTGCCTCTTTCGCCTCTTACCGCAGCGGTGCCAAATCGGGCGTCTCCGCTCGTGAGGTTCCTCTTCCCGAGAGTGTCGTCGACCTCGACGTCCAGAGCCACGTCACCCCTGACGACTCGATCAGTCAAGTGGACGACTCCCGGCGGTCCTCCTACTCGCACCGGTCGCATGCTTCCAAGAGCCCTTCCAAGGTGTCGAAGCACTCCAAGTTCGACGAGCCCGTCAAGCCCAGCGACAGTGTCAGCCAAGTCTCTACCAACGTCTCCAGAGCGTCTCAGCGGACCATGAAGGCTGGTGGTAGTGGTGGTGGCGGCAGTGTCGCTCCGTCCAAGGCTGCCTCGAAAGTGAGTCGCCGAACTGCCAGCCAGGTGGCTTAGCTTCTGCACATTTACATTCTTCGTTTCTCCTATTCTCCTTGTTCAGACGCAGCTTCCACACGGCTGTGATAATTACACCATCATATTTGCATGACAGACCTTGTATGTGAGGCACAACTGTTACTCTACTACATTTTACATATTGGTTTGGGAAAGCATGAAACCTGGCGTTTGATTTATATGTTATTCAATGGGTTGGTCGTGTTCTTCAGATATATTTCGTTGGCATTTATCTGCGATTATATACTATACTATACGTACTGCATAAGAATGTTTGAATCTGCATTTATTATCTTTATCCTGCATGAAGATTGAGCATTGAGCATTGAGCATTGGTTGGAAAGGTGTGTCAAGGCGCAAATGCATATATAAATACATGGACTTTCCAGATTATTGAGCTGGCTCCTAGAAGAATTGATCATATTAGAATCTAGCTAACTTAGCAGTCATGTTCTGTTATAGTTACACGACGCATCTGACGCATCTAGATACTGGCACTCAACTTACAACAGAAAGACACTTGACATCAACACACAAGACTCATTAGTTCTAAGTATCGATAAATCCCATAAGACTAGATCAAAGCCAAAATCAAACCCAGTTTCAATAATACATATATCACAATCCTCCCTCCTTCCTATAATACCACACCCCCTTCTAAACAGCATTCTACATACAACACATATACCACTTAGTAGTATCAATCAACACACAATCACCAACCCCCCCTCAAATAACATTAACCACTCCCTAAACCCCCCGACATAAATAGAACCTATCCCCTCCCCATCCAAGAACCATACACTAATGAAGAAAAAAAAAAATCACCTCAAAAACTCATGTCCCAACAACTCCCCCGCCGTCCACCTCTCCTCCGGCATCCACCTCAACATACTCCTCATAAACCCCAAGAAGACTTCTTTCTCCGTACCAGTCAAACGCCTTTCCAATGACTCTAGAGATACATTCCCGGGGATAGGTGCTTCATCGTGGGCAATCCAGGTACCTATATACCGATCATATCAGCATTATCCCTCCACTCCAAACACAACAATTAAAAGAGAACGGGGAAGGAGTAGGGGGTATATACTAACCCCCCTCATCAAAACACTGCTTCGTCGTCTCACTCCTACATACAAACTCCCTCGGCGGAGATTCCCCAATAACCGCTACCATGCGCGCTACATGGCGGAATGGATCGTGGTGGCCTGTTCTAGGGTCGAATATATCTTCTCCGAAGAGGTGTTCGCCTTCGAAGAGGGACCATATCTAATCATAGTATATCAATTATCAATCATTAACCACCATACATTTACAATCACTTAGAAGAAGAGAAAGGAAGATGAACATACAACACCCGCCACACCCCAAACATCAACAGCACACCCCCAATCCATCTCAAAGATGACCTCCGGTGCACGATAAATACTCGGCTGGATGAAGGGTCCTGAATCTCTTTGGACAGTGCCGATGCGCGCTTCGCTAAAGTCGCAGAGCGTGGGGAGGCCGTAGTTCTTGTTTCCTTTGGGAGGGGGGAAGGGGCGAGATTTGTAGATGGTATGTGAAGGGTCAGTTAAAGATGACTTTCTAGGGCTTGGGGAGGTTGATTCTGCGGCTGCGAAGGACGGGAGGAGGGTGGGGTCGTGGAGGGTCAGGAGGATGTTGTCTGGTTTTAGATCTATCATTATATATGTACCAGTTAATAACTAGTTGATATATATATTGAAATGGAAATGGTGATAATACCAGTATGAACCACCCCGGCCTCCACATGCAAAAAGTCCAACGCGAGTAAGATCCGCTTGATAGTCATCTTTAACAGCGGGAGATCGAACGGTCTAGAGTTTAGTTGTAGCATATCGTGAAGAGACATGGTCATGGGTTGGAGGAGGAGACATTGGTGTATACTCCCTTCTCCTTTTCCTTCTTCTCCTTCGGATACTGCTGTATTCCGCAACTCAAAAGAATCATACACCTCGCGAATCAACGATTGCCCCGGATGTAAACATCCCTTACCTTCCACTACATTGGCGAGATGTTCATACACTCTGTATTCGCGGTTATGAGAGTCCTTCGTTGGTATTGAAGTGGAGATTTTGAGGACTTTGTATTCATTGTCTTCTTTATCATTATTGTTGTTGGATCTTGATCATAGAAGTGATATTCGTATGTACATCGTTAGAGATCTTATCTATTATATATAGGATAGGGATATTGCACACCGAAGATCCCGACACACCCAGCTCGTAGAAGTACTTCCGTATCCGAGTTTCCCTATAATTTGGTATCTGGAGTGATAGATGTCGCCTATGTTGACGGGGTAGTATTGCTTGGGGTTGTAGTGGGGGAGGGTTTCTTCTTCGATGGGGATGTCTCTGGGGAGGTAGTGATGGGATGTATATGTTCTAATTGATGGGAGTATTCGACGGATGGTTTGGGTTCTTAGTCTTAGGAGGGATGCCATTGGGGTTGATTTGTTCTGCAGTATATGGATACAGGTTGAATGATGGTGGAATGGAAGGGGAATCACTGATCAGCGCAGCTTGTCCATTGTTAGCCTCAGGCACCAACATGACTACTATAGATGATACATCGAATCTATGCTGTCCGTATAGGCAAACATGCGAACTACACCGCCAGTTGAGTCTGGCTACCATATCTACTCCTACACTGCTGAGCACACGATCCACTGGTAATTGGTTCCTGCTAATGGTTCCTACTGATTGGTCCTACTGAAGAATACAAGCCACCAAATCCCTTACCAGCAGCATCGCCAATTAACCAACCCTCACTTCCCTCATCTCCTCTCCTCATCCCCAGCTATCCATCTCCACCACCCAGAGGCTTCAGCCTCACGACCGTACCAGTACCCAGCATCCTCCCCTCAGCCCCGACCCGAGGAATTATCGAAAACCACACCCTTCCTGGGGCCTTATGTTCATCAGGTAACATTTATCCGACTCCATTGAGTGAAAATAAAAAATGCCATGAATGCATAATGAGAAGTGGTCATAATGATCGTTGGATATGACATTTCCCCCGCAAATAAAATGGAGAAAGCGAAAATAAGGGGGTAAACGCGGAATTCCAGACACACGCAAATAGTTCACGGAGAATAACAAGGAAAGGATCTACGATCACGGTACGCCAGGCTTCGGATCTGATCTAACGGAGCGAAAGAAGACGCAGAAGCGGATTGGGAAGACCAAGGTGGCCGTGGAAATTGAATTGCGAAGATCAGATGGCATATTTGCGAGTCCATTCCCGCGCGGTCGCTTCGTACCGGGGACGGTCCGTCTTGTACACGTGAGCGATTTCCGGCACCAACGGGTCGTCGGGGTTGGGGTCTGTGAGCATGGAGCAGATCGAAAGTAGCACTGCAACAGTCAGTATATACGTAAACAGCGTCTGTAGGCAGAGAACATACCCTTCGAGATTGTGAGAGCAGGACTCCACTGGTCTCTGAGGATGTCAAGGCAGATGCTGCCGTTGGCGTTGATGTTGGGGTGGTAGATCCGAGTGGTGAAGTTGACCTTCGGGGGCTTGAATGGGTAGTCGGTGGGGAAGTGGATGTTCAGGAAGAAAACACCTCCTGAGTAGGGGGAGTCACCCTGGAAGTCGGGTTAGCAAATGATTCCAAGATAACAAGGCTGATGACGCCGTTGGGTGCCGCGAGGTCCTCCCGACAAAGGAACAAAGACACTTGCTACATCCGGACGTTGGAAGAAATCCGGGGATACTCACAGGACCCATGATAGTTGCTTGCCAGTGGAACTGTGCAGCAAACCATTGTCAGTATTCATTTCAGGCATTATGTCGTTGATAAAGAGGTCTGAGGCAAATCTGCGTTGGACTGCCCCGCCGCAGTCGGCGAAAGCGGCAATGCGACCGTGTGCAACGAGGGGTCGGAGGGGTGAAACCATACCAGGTCATCTCCGGAAGGACCAGCAGAGCAAGAAGAGGGGGGATCACTATAAGATGAAGACAACCACGTTAGCATACTTCTATACATGCCCTGGCAATGCGTAATGACACAGGCGCTGTCTGGCGGAGGGTAGACGAACGCCCCGCGGCTGTGGTGGGGTGTAACACCAGGCGGCGGCAAAGAGGCAGGCGAGGGGAAACAAGATGATGAGGACAAGTCTTACCGGCCGAGGTCAGTGAGTTCCTTGTTAATTCTCTTGAGAGCCATGGCGAATGTGTGATGTGTAAAGAATGGAGAGGATCTCCTAGGTTAAAAGTGCAAAGCGAGTGGTATCGAATTTGAAGGTGGAAATCTGCACACGATTTCCCAGTCAGCACAACGGCGAGATATGTAAGAAGAGAAGAACAACGACGACGACGAACAGGGGCAAAGAAGAAGACGACTAGCAAAGTCGACTAGACTGGAGGGGGAAGTTGAGAGGGGTTGAGGATGGAATGGAGGAAGAGACTCACCGTGGGCTGATTACGTCGGAAGACGAACAGGAAGAAGAGGGGGAATTGGGCTGAAGGAGAAGAGGAAGAGAGAGAGGAGAAGAGAAAGAAGAGGGAAAGTCAGTCAGTGGACGGGAAGAGCGAGAAAGGGAAAGGCGGGCAACCCAGCCCAGTCACCAGCCCCTCTGAACCCGTATTTACCGGTTATTACCGACTGATTACTCGGCTTATTTAATCAGGTTTGCCTTAAATCAGGCGTCCGTCAGCCACTGTTGCGCCACACCCTCCCTCTCCTTCCATCGTCATTTCCCAATCCAGTCGGACATTCTAGATGCATCATCCTGCTTCTGCCGATTTTGCTCCTTCCTCTTCTTTCCAATATTGATCATCCAATAGTTGGAGACCCAAATATAGGCTGTTTTTCCCCCTTATGAATAATCTAGATGACACCCGGTACTCTCCGTCATCACCAACATCGTCATCATTCCCAAGTCAGCCCTGACAATCCAAGATATCCACCTGAACAGCCCCTCCCTCCCTTCCATTGTCAGCCACACCTTCAATTTCGGGTCCCTCCCAGACGGGTATCAATCGGACGGTGGACAAAACCGATAGGCTGAATGGTTACCGGCAGTCCGCTCACTTTGTACTACGTACTTACCTAACTGGTGGCCACCACCGTTGTTTGCCCATTTGCAATGTTGGTTCTGCCCGTTGACTGGGTCAATATTATCAAGAATAATGGATCTCTTTTTTTTTGCCTTTTTTTTTTCTCTCTTGTAATATAACTCGTAATCTATCACTCACACCTACACCTATTAGGCTATTACAGTTAGATGACTAGTCTATCTATCTATGTACTTGTGGGATAGTGACTACTTCAAGTGCATGCATACCGGGCATAGCATATGACTTCCTAAAAGATACTCCGACTTATATTAAGGTAGTATACCGATCCTGCACCCCTCTTATTCTAGCAGATATACTATACTATACAACAAGATAGATACTCATATCTGTGCCACCCAACCAACACCCCACAAAATGAATATTCCATCAGATCCATTTCTTTCCCGTCGGCAGTGGCAACGGTAAGTTGCAAACTACTTACCCTACTTTGTAGTTAATACGTAGTTTGCTTCAAACTCTTCCCTACTTACTGTACATACTTTCCATCCCCACATCCATACTATGTACACATGTAGTAGATAGATTCATACACCTCCCCTCTTCGGCAACAACCCACCAACCAACCAACCTCCTCTTAATAGTACTCCGTATTAAGTGAAACACATGTTTTATTCCTTTAAACTTTCTCTTCCCGAAGTTGCACCAAACCTTGAAAACTACTACTAAGTTTCTTTGTGGTCATTCTTCCACCATCGATCCGGATCTTTCATTGGGGAGGCAAACCCGAATTCTGTACCACCGTTTAATTTATGACTAACTTTACCCAAGGAACTAAGTTAAGTAACTCTTCCTGTTTGTAATCAGGTTACATACAGTGCGGTTTGCGGGTGCCCTTGCCACGTGGCGCAGCATGGGCTTAGGTTGCTTCTTTTCTCACGTGACGGGGAAGACCGTTTCTGGAAGGGTCGACTCATACTTAGTATTACTATGTTTCATGCTGTTTGGGGTAGATGTATGAGAGATATTCTGTGGGTAGGTAGTGCTTGGGATATGGGGTATGGTTGGGGTTATTGTAGCCCCTGTGTTTGGATATTTGTGGTTGTATATGTACATGTATGTGTGAGGGATTCATCAGGTAGGTAGGTAGATGAACTGAGAGTTAGGGGTGGAAGTGTCTGCTCATCTAAACGAATGCCTGGACGCCGGTGATGGCGCGGCCGAGGATCAGGGCTGGTTTTGGTTAGTCGCCATCCATACAAAAAACAGATGTTGCCTTCTGTGGTATACGATAATACTTACTATGAATGTCACTTTGTCCCTCGTAGGTCTGCACCACGAACAAGTTCGCTACATGCCGGGCGATATGGTACTCGTCACTCGTTGCGTTGCCGCCAAACACTTCTTGGAGACTGTAATAGGATGGATCAGTTTGCTTTCCTGCCAAAGGTTCTCATGTGGAGGGCATACATTCTCGAGTTAGCCAGAGCACGGTCACAGTTCTGTCTCTTGACCATCGAAATCATCTCCGGTGTGCACTTTCCGGCATCCTTAAGCCGGGCAACCTGTGTCGCAGCCAGTGTGCCGTACGCAGCATCCGTAGCCGCATCAGCCAGCTTCTTCTGGATAAGCTGGTACTTCGCCAGCGGGTTACCCTTGAACTGCTTGCGCTCGAGCGCATAGGTGCGGGCACGGTTCAGACAATCTTCGAGCGCACCCATAGCTCCAAAGGCGATTCCCAGACGAGCGCTGTTAAGGCAGGTAAAGGGACCAGCAAGTCCTTGAACCTCGGGGAACATGTTTTCCGCAGGAACAGGGCAGTCATCCATCTGGATCATACCGGTGATGGAGGCGCGCAGGGCAGTCTTGTTCTTGATGGCAGGCGTCTCCAGAGTACCCGGTGGGCATTGGCTGCGCTCAACGACGAATCCACGAATCTTGCCCGTGGTCTGCAGCTTAGCCCAGACGATCATGATGTCGGAGATAGGGGAGTTAGTGATCCAGGTCTTGGTGCCAGAGAGCAAGTAGTATCCCTTCTTGGTAGGGTGCTCCCGGGCGACTGTCTCCATGGAGCCAGGGTCAGAGCCGTGGTTGGGCTCAGTGAGACCAAAGCATCCGGCCAATTTTCCCTTTGCCAGCTCGGGGAGGAAGCGGTCCTTCAGCTCCTGTGTACCAAAATCATGGATGGCTGTCATAGCCAGGGAGCTCTGCACAGACATTCCTGAACGGTATCCCGAGTCCACACGCTCGACTTCCTTCGTAATCAGACCGGAGGCCACGGTACTTGCGCCGGCGCAACCATACCCTTCAATGTTCGCGCCGAGGAGGCCGAGTTCGCCCATCTCGGTCAGGATCTGGCGGTCATAGTTCTCGTTCCGGTAGGCATCTAGTATGCGCGTACTTATTAGCCATGAAACATCCACGTGAGTATTTCCCTCGTCGCCGTTAAGGAGTGGCGGGCATACCTAGAACGCGGGGTAGCAGGCGTTCCTGGCAGTACTGCCTAGCTGTGTCTTGAATAGCCAATTCCTCCTCTGTGTACAACTCCGATGCGACCAAAGGATCCTCCCAGTTGAAGGTCGTAGCGTATCCACGAACCGAAGCATTGCGCGAAGTTGCGGGTGCTCGACACAGGCGGTGGAGGTGGCGCGAAGCCGTGCGAAAGCTGGATGGGTTCATGATGTGAGATTGTAGGCGCTAGTAAGATTATGAATAAGTGAGATATATCTGTAACTAAGACAATATTAATTGGAGTGACCAAATGTCTGGGGATGCGACAGCCAAGGGATAGATGGTTCGGAGGTTGTTGCGGGGAGACATTCATCCAGGCACACTTTCGGTGTCTCGGTTTCCCCCAACCTCGGCAATCCGTCGGGAAAGATTCATGCGGGCATTATAACTTACACTAGGGATCACGGTAGCAATATACCAAATTGATTGATATTTCACTGGAATATAAAACAGACTCCAGCAGTAGATATGCTCCTTATATGCTTCATGATCACTGAACCTCCAACTCCCCAACCGAGCCGCGGGGACACTCTTCCGCGGCCGAGCTCGGCTTGCAGCCCGTTCCGTCGGCGCTGGCGCCCAATAACCGGCCCTCCTCGAGCTTGTATAGATAGAGCCCAGGCGGATATCTCGTTTGTCCCGGCATTCAACTCAACAGATCGTGCATGTATACACTGGGTTCAAGGACGGTAATCTACGAGGAATACTTCGTCTACCCTACAGTATTGTCCGTATTGTTCGTTATCTAGTATCAAGATGCAGCTATTGCCAGTCCAATTTGATGGAGAGCCTACTTTTGAGGAGTCGACTAAGTGGACTTCTGTATCCAGACCTTAAGACTGATTATTGTTAGGAAAAGGCTGATGCATTGACCAGATGTAACTGGGAATGGTAGCCGGCAAGCTACCATACAACGTCAAAGCCGACTGACTCGTTTATGGATTGTATTTTGGATACTATATACACCATGGTAAACAACTGGTGCTTTGACTTATATAGTCCTCAGTAAAGACTGACTCATAGCCCTGCATTAGTACCATGGCAACACGCTGCTCCATACGGTATGCTCAAGCAGGCATCTGGGACTGAAGGAAATCAAACACCCCGGTCGGGAAGTAATCCTCATCAAAGCCCCAGAGATCCGCCATCATAGGGTCCACCGACCCTTCTGAGAGGCCCGTCTGGGCTTTCACCTGTGTCGCATCCGAGTCGAAGCTATTTCCTCTCTCAGCAGACAAGGGAGCGACTCCCAGCAATGGAGGAGGGGGGTTCAGTATCGTGTCCCGCTCTCCAAGGGGCTGAGCCCCGGGGATAACAACCGGTTTGAACATGGGCAGAGCATCATGAGAATTCTGTGTCAGAGACTGGGAATTACCAAGATTCCTTTTCTCCCATTCCTCCAACCCCGTGAGCATCTTTTTTAAGCCACGGGCTATATGGTGGCTGAGATGGTGCTCGCTTGCACGCTTACTGCACGAGACCATCATATTAACAATCCGCCCGACCAGCTCCCGCACGTACGCGACATCAATGTGCAGGCCGGCTGAAGAAATGGAATTCTGCTGGCCTTGGTGGTTGGGAATGCTGTTGGAGCAGCCCTTGGCTGCAATCTTTAGCAGGAAAACGGCGGCAAAAGTTATCATACTGTGGAGGTACAATGGGACGCCAACCAGAGCCCTCTGAATATCAGGCTCATCTAGGACCACCCGAAGTGTGTCTATGGCGGACTGTATGGCTATATTCGCGCGCTTCTTTCGCTCAGCAGACATGGGTCGTGTCGATATCGAAGAGTGATAGGTCCGCAAAGCAACCGAATTCAGCTGTAATCGAGAAAAATGATAATGCAGATTAACCGCTCTGTAAGGATATGCACCGACATATCGACTCCCGACTGCTTGTCGAGCCACATTAGCGAAATGTGCACCTAGACAATATACTGAGGAACAGAAAACGAACCCAAACGCGGATACCAGGCTATCCGCCAGTTGTCAAGGTCGGCGTCATATTTATCAATGGTAGAAAATTCGCTGTCGGGAACCTCCAAGTCGACATCGGGTCCAAAGGCGTGGTATATTCGGGTAAGAATGATAAACAGGTCGACCTGGCTGTGTAGACGCAGGTCACCTTGTTGCACGTTAGGGGCATGGGTGAAAGTATTGTGATTCTTAATGCTCTGGTCCTCGTGGATTATCGGGGGTCGTCCGTAGGCGATAGAGAAGTGATGCTCTAGGGTCTAGGCCAGTCAGTCTCGTTGCACGAAGCCCACCAGGGCTACAATCGGTCGCGTTGAGACGTACATAAAGAAGATACCACAGCCTAGCTTGTTCTATATGCTCTGGAGAGCCTTGTGTTGCTTTCCGGTAAGACTGATGCAGGTTGCGCTCCGTGGCAATCCGCACTGCATACCCAGACAGCTTCCAGCTTACGTCTGCAAGCCAAAAGGCGCCTATACATAATGCGCGCAGATCATCCAGGGTGTGGTGTCTGTCTAGCATTGATTCTGATGCTAACCTAGCAAACTCCGTATAGCAAATATCGAATGTGCGTTCTTTCTTGGGCAAATGCAGGGCTGTGACAGCGAGAATGGCGGCGGAGAGCATCGAGGAAGAGTTCCTCACAGAGGTCAGGTCTTTGTGGTCCAGCAATATCCCATCCCAAAGATAACGGCTAAGTACTTGATCAAAGTAGGAGAAAAGCTCCTCCGCCTCGTGCAAATCCACTACTCCCCGCGAAACGAAATCGGTGACAAGAGCCCGATCTGGTGCATGATGCCTTCCCGGTGAAGTTGTCTGAATATCGCTCAACTGTGTCACTTCGTACAGACTCCCCATCGGAGCCGTGACCAGCGATGAGGTTCCATTCTCTTCCCTGTCTAGGGCGTATTGTGAAGGCTGTTGGAAGGTGGTTTCGGATGTTCTGGGCTCGGGTGCTACTCTCTGCGCGCTGCTCTCAAGACGCTCTGCTCCAACATCGTGATCCGTCCCAAGAGGCGTGCCTTCCGTCGACACTGTAGAATCCTGGCGGTCTCTTTTCTTTGACAGTGGCTCTGATGCCTTTCCATTAGTTTGATAATATGAGAGATCGGGTAGCTGGGCCTTTCGCAGTAGGTCTGCCATTGCGAGCTCTATTGTGGCCTTCCATCTAGAATATACCAGAGATAGTCAGTCACTGGGTCTCCTGCAAGCTATGCGAATGAAAACAAAAAAGAGTGGTATAGTTACTCTGTCTCATCGTCCAGCAACGTCTGGAGGCTTTTGTTGACAACACATTCCAGGCCCATGCGACGACATCTGTGACAAACGGTGTCCCCCGCATTCATATCACAGCGGACCTTATGGCGCTTGCATTCTGTACAAGCTCTGATTCTGCGCGATATCTTGGGGACATGCCTCGGGCTCTGCTGTGAGTCATTTTCCGGGGTATACTGTGGGCGGGTACTCTGCGGAGAGGCGGCAGAGGAGGCATCACCGTTGGACTCGAAATGAAGACGACTTCGCTTCATGATGCCAATGCAAGACGCATCGTCATAGGCAAATCATGTAGCTCGCGTGAGAGTGGGGATAATTCCGGGCTATATCCACCACGAGAGGGCCAACGGCACAGGAACAATCCTAGGAGAAGAGAGGAGAGAGGGGTCTGGGGGTGAACATTGCAAATGCCGGCGGTTGCGTTTCCGAGAGCTGCGATTTGCCTGCTCGACCGAGAGTCCGAGACGGCCAGGCCCGATAACAAACGGCGCCTTACTGCTTTGGGTTCTGCACGGGGCCTCGCCGGGTGGGGCCTGGTGGCCTTGCAGCCTGATTGCTCTTATGTAAGAGGGGCCGGGGAACTTTCCACCGCGGGGCGGATATCTGTCACGTGGAAGAGAGCTGCCTGGCTGCCGCTAAGCCTAACCGGGTCTATAAATGACGCATGTCGCGTAGCTCTCCGCGGCGCGTCACTGTCGCGGCTCCCCTCTGATTTCTGCCTGCCATTCCCTTCCAACTGCTTGCGGTGACCGAGAGTTTGTACCTCACCTGGTTTTGGATAGTAGTGAAGATCTCAAGATGGGTATTAAACGTGAGTATTCTCTATCATTATCACTCCTCCACAAGACCGCTCTGTCGCAGCGCATTCTCCATCCTCAGGAGCTCATGGGAGCTGACCACGCTCAGAGCTGTATCAGGTGATTTCAGAAAATGCCCCAGATGCCATCAAGGCAGGGGACATTAAGAACCACTTTGGCCGAAAGGTCGCTATAGTATGTCAAGCACTCCTACCCTCTTCGCGGTGGCTCTCAGTGAGCAAGCTGTTCTCGTTTCAGACAGAGCTGACGAAATTGAATTTCTAGGATGCGTAAGCTGCCGTTGCCCGCATTATCGCATTGCTTGCATTCGCTAACTGCCATACAGTTCCATGAGTATTTACAGTTTCCTTATTGCGGTCCGTTCCGAAGGTCAGCAGCTCATGAGCGACACTGGAGAGACAACGTCGCATTTGATGGGCATGTTCTACCGCACTCTGCGCATGGTCGACAATGGGATCAAGCCTCTGTATGTATTTGATGGAGCTCCCCCGAAGCTCAAGTCCGGCGAACTAGCCAAGCGATTTGCTCGAAAGAGCGAAGCCACCGAGGCTCACGAGGAGGCCAAGGAAACCGGTACGGCAGAAGATGTTGAGAAGTTCTCGCGACGCACAGTACGAGTCACCAGGGAGCACAATGCAGAATGTAAGAAGCTTTTGAAGTTGATGGGCATTCCGTACATCGATGCCCCCACGGAAGCCGAGGCGCAGTGCGCGGTTCTCGCGCGCGCTGGAAAGGTCTATGCAGCTGCTTCGGAGGATATGGACACACTATGCTTTGAGACGCCAATTCTCTTGCGCCACCTTACGTTCAGTGAACAGAGGAAGGAACCCATTCAGGAGATCCATTTGAACCGTGCGCTGGAGGGGCTTGGTATGGACCGCAAGCAGGTATGTCCTTGAATTTATTTCTTTAATCATATCTCGAGGATGCTTATTTATGTGATATAGTTCATTGATCTTTGTATCTTGCTGGGTTGCGATTACCTTGAGCCGATTCCCAAGGTCGGACCCAACACGGCGCTTAAGCTAATCCGTGACCACGGAAGCCTGGAGAAGGTGCTTGAGTTTATGGAGAACGACCCGAAGAAGAAGTTTGTCGTTCCCGAGGATTGGCCCTACGAGGATGCGAGAGAGCTCTTCTTGAACCCCGACGTGCGGGACGCCAATGATCCCGAATGCGACTTCAAGTGGGAAGCGCCCGACGTGCCCGGTCTAGTAGACTTCCTGGTCAAGGACAAGGGTTTCAACGAGGACCGCGTCAAGAACGGCGCTGCTCGCTTGCAAAAGAACTTGAAGTCCGCTCAACAATCCCGCTTAGAGGGATTCTTCAAGCCGGTCGCCCGCACTGATGAAGAGAAGGCGAGCCTGAAGCGCAAACACGACGAGAAAATCCAAGAGCAGAAAAAGAAGAAGAAGGAAGATGCCAAAGCCAAGAAAGAGGCCAAGTCACGGCCCCGCGGTGCTGGTTAAATACCAGGCATAATTTTTTGTCCCAATTGGTCGTTGGATAACGACCAGAAAAAAGCAGCGACACTTCGACCGACACCACACGTCGGCCTATAAAATGTTCACCGAGTCCTTCCAGAACTCATGGTGTCTAGAGGCGTTATCGGGTTTATTCATTCAATTATGTGTGTAACTAGTTACTTCAGGCGAGAGGCGTTCCAACCGGCGGGATAAATGGATGGATGATGAATATGCACGAGTTCAGCATGCCACGTATATACCTACGACGTGGAAGATCCTTTTTTGCTGTCTAGAAACGAAAAGGACTAAAGAAGCAATAACCAGCATATACTATAGATAGATAAGGCAGCTAATAACTCCGCAGCAAACTGAAACTTTGTTGCCTGACATGTTTACACTTGTTCTAGGCTTGGAGGAGGGGGGTTCAACCCGACTGGTAGTCGTACATGATTCAAATCAAGGTTTTGTTGTACTATGTAGATCGGGAGGAACCTGGGACTCGGTGAGACGCATCGCATTGCGTGCGCCCCTTTTACTTCTGCTCCATTTTTTAATAGAGTTCTGTAGGATTGTATCCCAAGCTTCATGTAGTATTAGAAGTATATTGTGCGCTACTATTAGTATTTAGCCTTTTTTTTATATTGTGTGTAACGGTCGTACGATTGATTGCTCTTGGGAGGTGGGTGGTGTGGGGTCACGCGACTGTCCGCTCTACTACTACTGCTTAGTACTCCGTACCCTACCCTACTATGCAGGTTCAACGCGCGTTGATGGGAGCATTGGTTCTGCCCGTTTTCCTGTGTAGATGGGACTATCAGTATGGCGTATAATGTGTTCTGTGAATAGCTCTCTCTGATGGGTTCTATTAAATAATATTTATTGGGTGATTTTATCCTTTTGGTGGCGTAGTGATAGTAGTACTAGTAAGTATTCTAGCCTCTCGGGTGAGGGGAAACTACTACTAGGAAATATATAATGTGATGTGTGATTGACATCGACTAACAGGATTCACAACGCTACGTACTGACCAATAAAATAAGAATCCACATAGGCAGAGAATCCAGACCATCATTGATAGCAAGAAAAATAACGCATAGCAATAAAGTAAGCAAGTGGGCTAAAGCCGTTGTGGACGGGAGTGAAGTAGATCACGGATGCTGAAGCCGAGGGGGACCCTGATACTCTCTCGCCAAGCATTCCTCAAGCTTAACCAGTCATCCATTCGCTGTCATATTCAATTTCAGTACCTGAATTATTCTAGACACCGGAGATTAAGCTACCATGTGCAATAGACCCATATATACCGTGGTTTGGGACGAGGATCAAGAAAGAAAGTTGTCCTCTTATCAGGGCTCGTGATCCGGCGGCGGCGCATGGCATCAAACGATCAACCGGCCCGCCGCTGATATTAACCATCACTTCTAGATATCAAGTCTACGCAACAACCCCGGACGAACAACCTATTCCAAAGAGAGATACCTCCGCGAAAGCCAATGAAATAGATCATAGCAGGTGGTACAAGAACTACCAAGAGAAAACATATATCTACTTCCAAACCATCGAACCGCGAGCAACCGCCAAGCCGATGTAACCACGGGATCAAAGTCAATGGAGCTCTGGATCACAGAGCAAAGAATGGTCGATCATAGGCCCGGATTTCCCCAGGACCTTTCACTTTTGCTCACAAGCTCACTGGATACGCTAGTTCTCAAAGCTGGGTCTACCACCCCCCCAATTTCCCCCCAAAGTCAAATCCATAACATCATCTTGTTACCTCGTGACCCCAGAGCCTCTCCGCACGAGGGAAATCAGAACAAAGTGAAACATGAACGCCTCTTGCCCACCCTAACCCCCCAGCCGTTCCATTCATAGTTTTGCGCCCCAGACGTGAAAGACCAATGAATGTGATTAATGCAAGGGGAAAGAGAGGCGTCAAATCGGTTCTATTTCCCTGTGATCATCGCGTGTAAGTTGGGAGTTGATCCGGGAGCTTGATCGGACTGCCGCAGAAGTAATCGGGCGGACACGGATGGATGTGATCTGGAGTCCTCGGGGTTTTTGGGGTTAGAATCAGGGGTTGACTACGTATTTTAGGAATATCTGTAGATATAGTGAATGATAAGTCTGTGACAAATTTAAATATGGTCTTTATTAAATTAGAAATTTGAATTGTTGGGTGTGGTGTGAATGCGACAGGAGATGGTGTGGTGGTTGCGAAAAGCATCAATCACAACGGGGACGGCTGATGTTGGGATCAGAATGATTGAGGGTTTCACAAACAACTTTAATAGATAAAAATAATTTAAGGTGGTAGGGTCATAGTAGCGCCACTGGAGAAGTGCATGGAGCAACTTTTAGCTTTAGAATACTCAGAGGAAAGGGGGAAAATGGAGGAGAAGCGAGCACGCGTAGGAATCATTGCTGGATCATGCGCGTCAAGAAATAGTAGGAAGCAGCAACTCGGCCCAGAAGGAATGCATAGACAATCTACAAGAAGACCTACACGAACATTGATATGATAAAACCAAATTAATTTAAGCCACTACACAACCGAGGCAAATACACAGATAAATCTCACACGCAAAATGAGACGAGGAGAGAAAAAATTTAAAAAAAGGAATGAGGGAAAAAAAAAAGAGGAGAAGGGCGACCTGACGTGTTGTGCTCGATTGTCGAGTTGATCCTGTGTCAACACCCGCTGCCCTATAAAGCGCGGATGCCCCGCGGCCTTCCACCCCTTCCGTCGTCGACTGCTTTTCTTCTTCTTTGCTTCCATCCCACCAACAACCTTGCTTCTGCAAATCATCTGGTTCATCTCCCTTGTTCATCACTCCTCATCAACTACCTTTTATTTCATCTCGAATAACCCACACCCATCCCACCTTCATCATGCCTCCCAAGAAGACTTCCACCACCGGTACCACCACCACCAAGAAGTCCGGCTCGAGCCACGCTTCCTACCGTGGTATGTTTTGACTGATCTTTCACCACCACCCCATCGCGTAGCATTGAAATTAATATCATTTTTGTCGCGAATGACTGCTGATTCCATGAATATAGATATGATCAAGGATGCTATCCTGAATGTGAGTTAATCACGCTGTTCCCGGTGCGCGTTGGGATGACGGGCGCTGGGCGGGATCTCCGACCGTGACACGTCTACACGGTGCTTAATTGTCCCAACGCCCCATCGGGCTCCTGCTTGTTTCTCCTCCCAAATGGGTCGCTGACATCTTTCGCAACAGCTGAAAGAGCGCAATGGTAGCAGGTAAGTTGTTTCGTGTTTCTTCTCCCCCGCCCGATGCAGGGTCCCGTTCGCTGGCGACGTGGCAACCTACCACCCTGTCCAGGTCGCGATCTCGGCTGACTCGTCTTGTTTCTCCTCGACTGTAGCCGCCAGTCGATCAAGAAATATGTTCAGGCGAACAACAAGATTGCTTCTGCCTCCACCAACGCCTTTGACAGCCAGTTCAACAAGGCCATCAAGGCTGGTGTTGAGAAGGGCGAGTTCCTTCAGCCCAAGGGTAAGTTTATCCATCGCGCGCATTTTTATTCTCCTCATGTCGCCACGGTATTCGATACTCTTGATACGGAAGGCCGTGTCTTGACTGTCGTCGTTCGCGTCTTTCATTTTTCCGTCTTGATTTTCGATGGGGCGTGTCAACTGACGCGTCGTCAACCAGGCCCGTCCGGACCCGTGAAGCTTGCCAAGAAGGAAGCTGCCCCCAAGCCTGCTGCTAAGGTAAGTCTTAATCAATAACATCTGGAACTGATCGAGAGTCATTACTAACGCCGTCTATAGAAGACTGCCACCAAGGCTGCTACTGCTAAGAAGCCTGCTGCCAAGAAGACCGAGAAGACCGAGAAGGCCGAGAAGCCCAAGACCACCAAGAAGGCCACCACCACCACTGCTAAGAAGCCTGTTGGCCGGCCCAAGGCTAACACGGCCAAGCCTCGCAAGGCCTCCACTACTGTAAGTTGTAGACCCGTGCCTTCTCACCCCGGACGGACAGGGTATACTAATCTTGAAGCAGGCTCCTGCCGTTGTCGACAAGCCCAAGGTCCTCAAAACCACCAAGAGTGGCCGGGTGACTAAGACGACGGCTAAGCCTGCAGAGAAGGCCACCAAGAAGACCACTAAGAAGGCTGCAAAGGAGACTGCTGCTTAAATCTGTGGGCGCCTGAGACCGTGTTGTCGGCGACCACTTGAACCCGGCTCCTCCTAGTCGGTGATGTGTGCCTCGGATGATCTTTCTCGAGCTATATTCCCTTTGTCTCTTCTGCTGTAATTTTTTATTTCCTTTATTTTTTTTGTTCCTTGGCCACTTTTTGATCAATGGGGGAACTGTTTCTGGGATATGCCGTGGATTGTTTACACTTTCGTTTTCAGTGTCGGTAGGGTTGGCGTCTTGCGATGGATCTTGCACCGGGATATGTTGTGCTTAACTCTTATGTTTCTTTTTGGGACACTTGTCTAAGGACAGGTGTGACGTTATGCAATGAAACTGCTTGTCCATTTCTTCAATTGAGCTGAGATGCAGTGTAGCGGATTCGTAGTTTCCTGGTAGAGACATCCTGAAGTATACCCTGCCAGTGGCGCAGTATTCGTCATCAACTATATCAAGTTGAAGGAATGATCCCCAATGATGCGCAAGAAGATTCGCAACTAGCGCAAATCAAAGAACCAAATGCACGCCAGTACATAGATATCTATAGTCTATACAGTATACAGAGTAGCTCCAAAACAGTCAATTTTAAGCTTAATGTATACATCCGCGGGTGTGCTTAGTAGTTAGTACGTGCTAGGAAGAAAGAAGTGGACCGACCGACCGGTGAACTGGGAACTCGGATGAAGTCACTCACCGGACCATCTAAGTAAATAACTACTAGATAGGAATTACTACTTACTATTCGATACCGAAGCGTGGACGGAAGCCGGAAGCTCATTCGACTAGAAAGCCAGTAGATTATTTACTTCCATACTTACTTACTTTTTAGCACCCGACCGGGTCCTCCCTCCCCCCCTCCGCTCCGGCCCAAAAATAGCAAATTGCGCCCACTCACCTTCTAGGTCCAATTTTTGCCTCCCTCTGCTGAGTGGTTGTGGTTTCTTTCCTTTCCGGGTGATCCGCTGAGTCAGGGATAATTGATTGATTAATTAAGTAATTGTGTTCATAAAAATGATAAGTTAGGTTATTACTCCGTGGTATTAGTTACTTGATTAAGGAAGTAGTTGGTTAACTCCGAGGAGAGAGGTGGGTGTTTATGTGCCTGGGGCTTTGCAATGTTACGGGGGGTATGTTTGGTGGCCCGGTATTGGGGATACAGAAATCGTCCTTGGTGTTGAAATGAAACGAATTGAATTGAATTGAATTGAATCGATTCGGAACGACGTCAAGTGTAGTAGTAAGTATCTTTCCGCTGCACATACAGAATGTTCATCCCTGGCTAGGGCTGGGGATGGGATGGGATGGGTTGTGATTCTCCCGCCTATCGTTTAGTTAATATGCGCAATGATTGGATTGATTCGCTTTGCAGGTGACCTGATACATCGTGGGTGGTGGGAAACTCCCTACCTTGTGAGTAGTACCTATTGCGTCAGGGCAAGGAGGAAGTTGGTTTTGAGGGGGGGATGATGTGACGTTGGCATTACTGGTGATCATCAGTGCAGAATCCACTGGAAAGGCGGGATGGGCTGCTACTATCTAGTATGTTACTGTTAAGGAGATAATATACCACTCAATTTGATTCTGTTGTTGTATCGAATGTCAGTTCTCGAGTTTGAGGAATCGAGTCGAGACGCCGGATCGTTGGTTTAGTTAGTAGTCGTTGGTTATTATAGCCCCAGCCACCGTTTTTCCGGAGGAATTCTGACGTTGGCAGCCATAATGCAAGCCAGATGTATTTACTGCGTACATGGCTTGAGAGATGGAAGATCTGTAGCTATCATTTGTCATTTTTTATTGACGAGGGTCATTCCTGCATTGGGCGGGCACGTAATCAGTAAACCAGGGGGTGCGGGCTGGGCTGGGCTGCCTTCACAGTGTGTGCGTGTGTGTGTGTGGAGGGAGTAAGTGAGTGTGCTTCATCTGCCTATCCCTACTTTTCAAATCGAAGGCAATTATAATCGACGGGGGCGCGGAAAGGCCAGGTGTTGTTGGATATGAAAAGTGTCCCACCAATCTACTCCATACGCTGGAGATCATTGCGACAGCTCTTGCCCCCCCAAAGATTCAATCAGGGGCCGGCTAGTCAGTCACTTCTCTGAAAGTAGTAGTAGTAGTAGTAGCTCGAACACGATTTTCCAATCTAACATGTCATGGACGGGTGGAGACACGACCCGACAGATGTTCCTTATGCATCCTGCCCTGTACGTGCTCATCAATCTCTCCGGTGGTCGTTGTGTTGGATGGTTATCTCTCGTCTTGCATGCAGCCAGCGTGTGTGAGTGGTAAGGAGGTTTCGGTTGTACCTTACTGTGCCTCGTTCCCCTTTTATTTTATCTGGCATTATCTGTTTGAGTAGTTTATGTATATGACTAGTAGAGACGGAAAAGTGTCTTTTGTTGTTCAATTGACGAGAACAGCTAGAGAGAGAACCCTTTCAGGGCTTAGTTAAGGGTTCAGTAGGTTGATCGGCTCAGGGCGTGAGGATGGTTAGTTAAATGATTGATGGATGACCTTTTAGATGTCTGCCTGCGACGGGGTCATCATGCCAAGCCTCCTGATACCACCATACTTACATACGGTATGGAAGTACTAGTATGTATGTATGTATGGATGGATGTATGTATGAGTGGTTCGGTCAGTCACGGGGAGGAGAGAGGGGGGAACACATCGGAAAGATAAGATACCTTGTTTTTTTTTATTCTGTTGCATATTTGCATGGGGATGGGATTGAAGATTGTTGAATGATCTCTCTGACTGCTCAGATTTAGAATCTAACTTTTTTCTTTCTTTCTGATGGAGGGTGTGATTCTTACCTAGATATACTACTTGCCATTCATCGGTACACGGATCAGTACCCAACCAACAACCCGAGGAAAGCTGAAGAGTGGAGCTGGTGCTACTCTTTCCTTATTATCGGACCAGACTCACTTACTCACTCACCTCCAAACCGGGTCCTTTCCCCTTCTTTTGCACTTTGGGTCTAACTTTGTTTTTCAGCAACTTCTGGGAAGGAGTTAATAATCATCGTAATAATAACAACCACACATATACAGTAATCTCTCAGATCATATTATTATTAGGCTGGAAAAAAAAAAGTGAGACAGGAAGGGGGGTTTTGTTGTGTTGTTGTCAAAAGGAAAAGGATTGACAAATCTTCCCTAGACTTCTTCTTTTTCCTTTCTCTCTCTCCTTTGCACTGTCCATTCGTCTTCTCTCTCTCACACACACTCTTTTTACGTAGTTGTGCCTGTCTCTCTCTCCTCCCCTTTCGCGTGGTATTACCGTTACCAGTTACCACCAGTTCTAGCCAAGGCACAGTGCAAGCCGTAAACTCTCCACGTTCGTTCGTTTTTTTTAGCTTGCGAAATACGGGTACCGTCTCGGACCTTGGCATCTTCTGGAGTCTCTCTCGGGTTGTCTCTCTTTCGCTCTCGCTCTCCCGTTTCGCTCTCTCTCTCTCTCACTCGCTCTCTCGCTCTCTTGCGTCTTCGCTCCAACTTCATTCTCTTATCCTGCTGCTCTCCCCCCCCCCATCATTTCGCCATCCTCCTCCCCTCCTCTTCTGTCCATTCCACCAGAACTCGCCTTTCGTCTTTCCCTATCGCTGCCAACCTCATCCTTTCCTTTTCCTGCTTGTCGCTAGTTACTGCAACTGATACCCCGACCGTACAACTCTTCGTTTCTCTCACCTGTTTTAATTTCGATTGTACACCTTTTCCACACCCCCCGTCACCTTCATCGGACCGATTCTACCAGCCTCCACGCCAAACCTCAAACCGCGGGACACGTCGATTGTGTCGTACCATCTGCCTCGTCTAGTGTTCGCCTGAATATGCCTATCAGTCGTTAAACTTTCTGCCGCCCGCTGGCTTCCCCAGCTTAATCCGGGAACTTTGACTGTTCTTGCATTGCAACCGCTGCCATTGATCGATTAATCTCCTCCCCCCCCCTTCCTCTCGCGCTCTTACCCCCTCCCTTCTACCCGTTGCGTCGCCGATAGGGTCTTTCGACTTTCCAACGACCCGGGACCTCAGTACTCCTACCTGCCCCTAAATCCTGAGGCTAATACCGACCTTCCCTCATCGCTACTTCCTCCATCCCGCTCTCCCTACCTCTCTGTCTCCGCTGGACTTCTGAGCCAACCCAAGCGACCATGCCCTCCTTCTCTAACGACGTCGCATACCAATCGTCCACTGCAACGGCTACTCACCCGCGTCCATTCGACTCACCGCAGGGGAAAACGTCGGAGAAAACGTCCGTCGGAAATACGTTCTTATGGACAAATTGGCCCAATGGCGACACGAACCATCTGGATGCCCCTCCAAATGACCGCCAACTCACCAACGGCAGTGCCTACTCCCTGAATGGTCCGCGCTCCAGTGCCAGCTCATATACGAGGGAATTGCCGCATTCGAAAGACGGCAGCATGCACTCCTTGGGAAATGGTTCGGCCCGGGAACCCAGAGAAGGCGGGAGGCCCTCGACAACATTAGATCGCGATGTCTCCAGGAAGTCAGTCGAAAGAAGCGTTCGTGCAGCCTCGCCGACGGCATCGGTCACCAGTCAGCAGATCAATGGGACGTTGAACCCCCGATCGCTCAACGGCAAGCCGACGGTGAATGGAGACTACCCTCGACCGTCCGCTGATGATCTGGTTGCTCCCGATGTAGTGGCTAATGCTTCGGCGACGCGATTGTCCACCTCTCAGCCTGATGACGCTGGCCGTCTCTCGCCGGATCCCGATCGATTGTCGCCCTCCTCGCCCTCTCAGAAGAGTCCCCATCGGTACTCTTCTCCCCCTGTACCATCTGGCATGGACGTTAATGCGCAAGATCCGAACAACACCGGCCTTCGACATCGACACACGTTGCAAGTCCCACGAAACAGCAGCGGGCGCCGGAGTAGCCGGGACCAAACTGAGGATGCTGCCTACAGCAGCGGTCGGTTGTCTCCCACGGCCGGAATTCGCCGTACTTCTTTCAGCTTGGCCCGGCGCGCCACCCGCACCAACCAGTCAGATATGCTTTCCGACGATGCCCCTCCGGACGAAGATGCGGCTCGATGGGCG